GTTTGGGGCTTGGGGAGCCGGCTGCTGAACTGCTCCATCCCCTAATCCAGAAGGAGCGGAGCAGGGATGGACACACCAGCCTGCTGTTCTCCATGTCATTGTACCAAAAAAGGATGGGGCAGGGAAAGACTAGAACTCTTCCGAATCTCGGAGGACAAGAACCCCGACTACAGGAAGCGTGTCTCCGTGGAGCTCACCAACTCCCTCTTCAAGCACGACCCGGCAGCCTGGGAGGCGGTGAGCATCCCGCTGCGCGCAGACGAGCCCTGTTCCCCGGGGAAACCGGGGTCTCTTGGAGTGGCCCCAAACTACCCCCAAAAAGCTGTCGCCACCACCTCCGCCCAGAGCTCGGACAAGAGCGACTGGCAAATGGGGGGAGGCAGGGGACGGACGGGCTGTGGCCTCCGCTCTCCAGCAGCCCTGCGTCGCGGTACCCACTATGCGGGATGGGGCTGGGCACCACGGAACCCCTGAGTTTTTTTTTGAGGACGAATCCCCTCTTCAATCGTGTCACCTTTTTTCGTAGGCTCAGAGCATGATCCCCATCAACGAGCCCTACGCAGATGGTGAGTACGGCACCAGCTCTTCCTCCGGGGTCCCCTGTGGGCTGTGCTCTGGTGGGGCAGTTGCCATATCTTACCAAACCAGGCTGGTTTTGAAACCTTTCTTGGGTGGCTGCCAGCCAAGTGCCGGCCCGGCCTGCCTGGGGATGCTCAGCGGGATGCTCAGCTCCGTGGGGAGCACGTGCGGCCGCTCCCCGGTGTGCCTGGGCTGGCCGGGAGCCGTGGGGCAGGCGGGTGGCGGGTGGCCCTTGTGTCCTTTGCAGCACCGCGTGCCACACGCTGCCCCAGGCGGGGGGACCAGGGGGAGGCTGAGGTCTGGAGAGGTGTCACCAGCGGGAGCTGAGGTCGCCGTGTCCCTTCCCTGCAGACCTGGACCCCGGCTACCGCCCCATGTACTCGGGTGACATCCCCCTGGACCCCATCGACATGCACATGGACATGGACGGGGACTACCCGCCTGGGCTCTGGTCTCCTCCGGTTTCCCCCCTGGGTGGAGTGACGGGAGCTCTCTCCTGCCGCACGCAGGTGTTTTCTCCATGCAGAAGAGGGTGGCCCCAGAGCTGAGCATTCGCAAGAAGGACTTGGGAGACAGAAGTGCCTGAGAAGACAAACTTTTCCATTCCCACGAGAGGTTTTATTTTTCGATTTTTTTTTCTTCGCTGTGGGTCTGTGGAGAAGGTCCTTCCTCCTGGGACTGCTTCGAGCACCTACTGCCGCATCCAGCATCCAAGATACTGTTTCTGAAGCTTTAAAATACACAAACCCTGCACCGTTAGCAACTTTTCATTGGCAAAATAGTCTTTTCTATGAATATATATTTCTTTTTTATTTTTAATATGGTGCCAACGGCTTTTGCCGTCTTTAAGTTTGTGCTTTCTAACTTCCCCACTCTTTGTTCTGCGTGTTAAGTGTTCTAGGAAAGGAATCTAACACGGGAAAACCCTTTGCTTTCTGCGAACTCTAACTTAATCAGGCCAATCCAGAGTCTGCTGAAACCAAAGGGTGCCGTGTCCCAGGACCTTCGTTTTAGCCATCGGGATGTCTGCGGTTTAATTCTTTCCGATCAGGTGCTGGGGAGCTGACTTTGTGTCCCTGCCTATCCTACCAGTACCCATAGAGGAGTGACTCCAGCATTAGGAACCGTGTCCTTGTACCGATCTCTGTTGCACATTTTAACCCGTTTCCCTTCTTTTTGGTGAGTGGTGTGTTTCCGTCCCCTCCTCCCTTATCTAACACATTTTTAAAGAGGCTCTAGATCTGATGGTGGTTTAACGCTTCCACCGGAAAGGGATGGATAGTTACTGGAGTGTGGTTCAGGAATGGAAGATTTTATTATTTCTGTAAGTTGTTTTTGTATAGACCAAAGCAAAGAATAAAATAACCCCCCAGCCCCGCGTTGCCCGGAGCCTGTTCTTCTGTCGGCTGGGGAAGGTCGGTGTGTCCCCGTGGGGCAGCGGGGGTGAAGGTGGCCATCGCCCTCCTCGGGCCAGGCGGTGGTGGCTCCCTCCCGCGGGGCTGGAGCTCCTTCCCATGGTCTGCGCCCGCAATTCCTGCCGCAGGGCTCGGGTGGCGGCCGGGGGGACAAGCATGCGGTGCCCCTCCCTGTGCCTGGGGGACGATGCTCGGCACGGCACAGGCCACCCGCTCGCAGCCCCGCAGACCCGGCAGCCGGTCCCCCCCGCCGGACCCCCGCC